TCAGCGTCCCTTCCCAAACCTTCCCTGCCAACAAATCGAGAAAGGTCCTTTGAGAAGGAGCCACTGAGGGTGAGAATGAATTCTGTGTTCCGGACTAGACTAGTGGTAGGAACACACGGTTTGGGAAACTGAGAACATAACACTTTCAATAGAAACTGGGCAAAAAATAAAAGAAGGGGGGCATTCTCTTAATTGAGATAAGATTTAATATTTTCTCTTTGTGCTTTTAGTGTAACAAGTCATGTTTATTTCTATTGGTGACAGTGACTTCTTTTTTAGGTTCAGCTATCAGTTCAGTAGCACTCTCCCGAACACAAGGCACATTCAGACGCACGAAGGCGCAGTACACTGGTTCCTTAAGATGCCCCTTTGCACAGAACTCTCCGTGTTGGCCATGGAGAGGGCATTATTGTGAGCAGTGTGGATGACCCCATAGCACCCCCTTATTAAGGAAAGAATGACTGCAAAAACCTCTTGGTAAAAATCTGCCCACCTCAAATCACGCAATCTCAGAGAACTCTCCTTTTAGCTCCTTCAGGACCGCGCCTGGGCTTCTTTTACAGTCTCCGTGGTGTGAGATGCAGTGTTCCCTCCACATCAGGCCCTAATACTCACCACCATTGAGCATTCGAGGACAGGCCACCCTGCCTCGGTGGCTTCCTGAGACTGTGGCTCTGTGTGGGAGTAGGAAGCCTCGCTTTCTCTCGAGGGGCAGCTGGGGGTTTCAAACGGCTGACCTTGCGAAGAGCAGCCCAACTCTCCACACGGCACGCACTTCACCCTTTCTGTCAGCATTGCTGTAGGGGTGAACTGCCTAGCTGGCCTGCTCTTTATCTTGGCCTTCATTAGATGAACACCTTCCAGTGTCTCCACGTGCTTGGTTTACATCAAGGAGTCTCAAACCTTGGGCATCTTCCATTGGATCAATTCTCAGTTGTGGGGGCATTCCCTGTACGCTGTAGGACTAGATGCTAATGCTAATCACACCTCTCCTCCCACCCCATGCCAAGCATACTCTAAGACAACATGAAAAACAAACTAACCCACAAAACAATTCAGAGTTACCCAGTTGGTTGTGACCCTATAGAGCAAGGTAGAACTGCCCCCAGTGGATTTCTGAGCCTGTAACTCTTTATGGGAGTTCAAAGGCTCATGCTTTTCCCTTGGGATGCCTGGTGGTTTCGAACTGCTGTCCTTGAGGCTAGCAGCCCAACTTGTAACCACTATGCCAAATGTCGCCGGGGAGGCAAAGCTGCCCGTAGTTGAGAAGAAAACTGGGTTTAGCGAATAACAGCAGCCACTTATGCCACGCATGTCGGGTGTCAGGCTCTGTACTGAGCGCTGCATGTCCTGATTAGTTGAAGACGCACACAGCCCTATCAGGTAGGTACTGTGATCATCACAGGCAGTGAAATAAAATGAAATAGAAAAAAATTATGAAGAAAATATAGTGCTTAGGGGAGATCAAGGCAATACTGTACACACAATTCCCACATTACATTTTATTTCAGAGCATCATGGGCCACAAAAAATTACCTCAGGGGCTGCATGAGGCCTGCGGGCCACCACTTTGACACCCCTGGACGAGATGCAGTGAGTTTGATTTCTGGACTTTCCAGGTGTTTCTCAGAGATAGTGCCCGAGGGCCTCGGGAATG